TTATATATATATCTGCATAATTTGTTTTATTTTGATGCATTCTCGATATCGTTCAGGGTTATCTTTTGGTGTATTTTAAATCTGTTCTATCTATTGCCTATCTATCCGTCTCTTTATCTTCATCTATAATCTATATATCTTGATCTAAATATCTATCTTTTATACTAAAGGGATGTAAATATTGTTTTGGTCTGCTTTCCAAGAAATTTTGCTTTTCATTAACTTGCGGTATACCTTTTTTAACATATTTCTCGATATCACTTTTTTAAAAAATGTGTGTGTGTTTTGTGTGTGTACGTTTAAATGGAAATTTACTACATTTTTATTTCAACAAAAACAGGACTGTAAAATTACCTTGCAGTGGTTCTTAAAAAATTTAAAACACAATTATCAATTTATCTATCTATCTAAAAGGGGACAACTCATATAGTTATACTTCACATCTGTGTGTGTGTGTGTGGGTTCGTTTATATATGGAACTGACTTCCTACATTTTTTGATTTAACAAAACTTCACTTTTTGGCAAATAGTGTTTTTGGTCTGCACTTTTTTTTCTTTATTTTTCAGAAGAAATTTTGACAATTGTTTTTAATAAACTTTATTCAATCGATAATCTATAACGATTGAAAACAATGTTTTTGTTTGAATTTTTTGACCAATATTAAAAAAACAAAAAAAGATCATTTTACTTTTTTAAATTCGGCAACGCCGGGCTCTAAGTATTTACTAATTCCATTTACTTTCCTGTTCTTAGCTGATGCAACTGAACTAATATGATTATGCTTCCGCATTTGATTGACACTGACAATCAAGGTTCTCTTTATGAACTATCATCAGCCTTCCAGATTAGGCTACGAAAGTTAAACAATAGAAGTCATTCAAGATAAACCATCTATCTATATTATTTTGTTTGTTATAACTACGAAACTGAGATGTTCTGTTTGTCTAGGCGAGTAGGATTACCGGAAAAAGCTAATTATGAAAAGACATTTCTTGTTCATAGAAAAAAGAAACGGTTACATAGCAAGGATAAGAGATTAAAGCTAAAACCTTGTCTAAAGCTTATTCATTATCCCTGAGTTATGTTAACTCTTAAACATCGAAGAGCAACATCACCTTTGAGACAAAAAACAAAACAAAAGCAAACAAACAAAAAAAAACGAATAAACTAACCTTTTCACCCCAAATAATGTCAAGTTAAAGTGTAAACTTTAAATGTAAAGTTACATTAAAAAAGTTACATTATGAATTCTAAATCAAAGTTTGTTTTTTTATTAATTTTTTGGCACTCTTTTGAAATTATAAGTTTTAAATGAAAATTTGTTTAGCTTGCTATGAAGTCGCTGGAGTTAATCTAAGAAAGTAACGACAATGAGCGTAGCATTTTCGCTTCTTACAGAGAGTAAATATTCTTTCTATGTCGATGAAATGCTCTAAAGCAGGGTTTTTCAAACCGTGGGTCCCGACCCTTCAGTGGGTCACGAGATAAATAAAGTGCGTCGCGACAAAAAAGAAAGAAAATAAAAAATACGCAAGTATGAGTAAAGTGCAAAATATAAACAACTTTATATCTTGCACAACACTCATAAACCATCGCTATTTTGTTGTTTCTTTTATCGTGTTAAGCTCGTATGATATTTTATTTTTTAAATATATATATATATATATATATATATATATATATTGTTATGGTCCAAGGTTAGGACCATGGAAGAACAACACGGAACACAAGAGTAGAAATAACAAAGAATATATTACACGAAACATAATACAAGAAGTTGAAGGTGTTAGTATGGCTGTCAGACTGGTTTGGAGTGAACAGCTCGACTTGATTCAATACCGTCCGTCTGTCTTGAGAGGCGTAGTATATATAGCGTTAGGAAGAGTTTATTCTGTCGATCTAGGTAAAGACCCATGACATATATATATATATATATATATATATATATATATATATATATAACAATAGTAAATCCGTTGACATATAATCAAAGCGGATCCTAGTAATATAAAATATTAAAACTGATCCACAAAAAGAGTATTTATTAATATAAACCAAATAATTAAAACACAATAAAAGCCCAAATCACCACATATGGGGAATAAGCATATTTCGACAGATGAAAGTATAGGTCGTCTGTCTTATCAACCCCGGTATAGAATGAGTTCGTGTCAGAAATAGAAATTTAACTGTAAAAGCTAAAAACAACATACAGTCGAAAAACGAATACAGAATTTATCCATTTTAGTGTTTCATTCAGACGAAAGGTGCAAGGGAGGTCAAGTGAGGGTGGAAGCTCTTTGCCTTAAAGGGAAGAGGTTTTATAAAATTAGACCCGGATATTAACATTATGACAATTAATATGAAGTTATATGAAGTATGAAATATTAATTGAAAACTGAAAGAGGAATAAAAATGGGTTTAAAATAACTTTAAAATATATAAATAATGTTATATTTAAAAGTACAAAGTCATATTTAAAAATACAAAGTTATATTCAAAAACAAGTTATATTTAAGAATAAGTTATATTTAAATAAGTTTTATTTAAAAATAAGTTATATTTAAATAATTTTTATTTACAAATAAAGTTATTTTTAAAAAATAAGTTATGTTTTATATAATAAAATAAAAATATGTTATATTTACAAATAAAAATATAATAAAATAAAATAAAAATACGTATATTTAAAAATAAAAATATAATAAAATATAAGTTATACTTAAAATACAAAGTTATATTCACAAAGACAAAGTTATATTTAAAACAACCTTAGAAGACATAGACAAAGGGCTGTAAATGATTAATGGAAAGAAAATCCTTAGAGCTGGAGAAAATTTATGGATTATAATTAATATAGTGTAAAGTTAGGAATATAGAAAGTTGAATTACTTATACTATATTCGACATTTGAAGATTTAGAGGGGTATATATATATATATATATATATATATATATATATATATATATATATATATATATATATATGCAAATGAAACGAAAGAACAGTCAGATTAAGAATCTACAATTTTTTAGCATTTACTTTTTTAAAAACTGCTCGATACAACGTAGAGCATAACATTTTAACAATATTTTTATTTAAAAAATATTTTACATCACCACACGGAAATTTATATGTTTCGGAACTTTGTTCAATTATCAAGGGATATTAGGTAACTTTTGATGAAAATTATTTCCTTTTGAACGCAGAATTGTATCTTATTAAAGAGTGAAAAGGAGTGGAGAACAAGATTTCAAAATATGATGGGTTTGTCCGGTTCAACCAATCAAAAGGCAGGTCAAAGTTAATGGAGAAAAGGGACAATATAGGTTAGAGGTTACGGGTGTGTTATTCATATTTGTCTAAATGGACTGTCATTTTTAGACGTGTCACCATTACTTCCGTTTAAGAATATAATTTTAAGATACAATGAAATAAATATATATATATATATATATATATATATATATATATATATATATATATTAGTGGTAAATATACACATACATATGCAAAATATATAAATATATATACATACATGCATACACATACATATATATTTTGTTAAAAAAAATTCCAAGAGGATAGAATCCAGGTAGAAATCAATGTCCACGACAGATTAAGGATATAATAAAAAGGCTTTAACACTAATATTCCATGGCCACAATTTATTCCGTCGGAATCTTAAATACGATCCAATTCATCAGACCTACAAATTCAAAAAGAAAACAGAAAAAACAACTCCGGAAATAAAAAATAAAATTTAGAGAGAGTGTAAGTATGAGAGTGTGGGACGAATGTTTGAGCTATAGAGAGGGGTAACAGACGAGAGAAGGTGGGGATTAAAATTTAACAGAGAGAAGTTTTAGAGAGGGGAGTCAAAGACGGTTTAAAGATATATATATATATATATATATATATATATATATATAAGTTTAATTTTAGGATTTAAAAAAATATTTTTGTATATACTTTAGAACTATCTTAGAGAGGACTCGAGTATGATTAAATCATTTTTTGTATATATTTTATTATTTTGATCCTAAAATGTAATACTTATTATATTCAATGTGCCATAAGATATAGCAATATTAAAATTAAAAATCAAGGATATATAAATATTATATGTATCATTATATATAATAAAATAATGGATATATAATTGTCATACATAGATTTTTTTATGAAAAATTCTATTAACTATATTTTAAAGTAAGCATTATACAATGCATACATATTACGGTTAGTTCAGTGAGCAAATTTAATAGATCATTATTTTAGGAAACTAAAAGTTTTTCCTGTTGACACAGGAGACAGGTCATTTAATGACTTACAAATTCTCGTTTTTTTTTAACATTTTTCATTTTACTGTGGGAGTTTTACTGATTTCTTTTAAATACCAAAAACATTTAGAGAAGGATGTTCGGTTTCAGTACCCATTGTTGTTAAAAGAAGAAATATGCTAATACCATCTTCGTTTAAAAGTTTTTATTTTTTGCTTCCAATATAAAATTTCTTAACATCTGGGTTTTCAGTAGATTAAATGGTGCATTGGTAAACAATAGATTCAATAAGACATTTATTTTGCAATAGACAATTCATTGAATTTCTACAATTACATAATTTATTAGCAATATTATCGATTTTTCACTTTGGAATTACTATTATTTTTAGTTAGGTTTAAGTGTTCATTTAAAATTTCATTATTATGTTTTTTTATTGTACATCTATGACTTAATTTTAGCATATTTTATTGAAAATCTTGCTTTCAAGCAAAGTAAATAACTTTTGCCCTAAATTACTACTAACCATTTGATGTGTACCAAATGATTGTTTTATTTCTATTTTTATGCAGTTATTATTCTTATTTTTTTTCTGTATTTAATATCGGGACACTTTAGCCACTATTTTTAAAGGATTATCATAAAAAATATTTGTTTATAAAATATATCTTCGTTGGCAGAGTTAATACCAATACTAAAACTAATTCCAATACTAATACTAATTCTATATTCTATATATGAAGTTACGTGTTTTATCATAGAGGGGGGAATAATTAGACTTCGGGCTGATATATAATGGATTAGCATTTGTTTTTTATATGGTTAGTACATATTGTTGATTAAGTCAAATTTTTCATCAAGGAAGTTTACATTTTTTAAATTTGTATTAATAGTAACTTTTAAGTTTAGGCTTTTAAACTCTCTGTGTATTAATTTTCTAATTTTGTCAATTTTGAAGTTAGTTGAATTTCTCACAACCATAAGGCCACTATCCCTATATAATCCTATATATTCCATACTGATGTCATGGTGTGCAGTAAGATTGTATAAAATAAAGAATTCAACAAGTTCAGCAGACCCAGCAGAGTCCAAAAACCCCATGGTAATATCAAAATTGTCTCCAAAGTTACTTTTAATCCACACTTCCTTGAAATGAATAAGAACTGATTTTTTTCATTCATAATGATGTTATATTCATCCTTCAATAGATCCAAATACACAGTGGAAAATTCTAAAAATTCTTGAAATTGATGGGTAATATTTCTCAATATCAAATTTGATTAGAAAACAATTGGTTTTGTCTTTTATATTACAAAACCAATTGGTGACATCGGTGGTGTTAATCCATTGCGTTAATCCAAGGTATTTCTTATTTTATTTATTTACCCTTTCGAGGATTATGTTACTTACTCTACCAATCCCAGGCATAGTAGGATTTATGCTCCTGGTGGAAGGATTTGCTTCAAAATCAGGTTTATTTTCCGTAATGTTAATGTAACATTCCTTTGTAGTAAGTTTACCGACTCTGTCACTAATTATTAGTTTATCCATGATCTTTTCCCTTGATGTATTATACTATCTATCAAATTAAGTTTTCTATAGATTTTTGTTATTTTTTAAATTAAGTTTTAAAATTAAATTTTCTAGAGATTTTTGTTATTTTTTTAAATTAAAGTATTATAATCCCTAGCCCTCATTTATAAAAAAAATTGCTGTTTTATCTGACCTTACAAACACTATTTGACCCAAACAATCTTTCAATAAATGGTGCAGCTTTTTTTTCTTTGAAATCTATATATTTAGGTTCCTTGGACAAGTTACACTTATGAAGAAAGAAATGAGCTTTGTATCTAATTCTTCTAATAAAACCTTTGTGTCAATTTAACGAAATAATTCCGTCTGTTAGTATTGGAAATGTTATTCAGAGAGATTCCGAAATTTGTTTTTTTTTCCCATATTTGTTTAGAAATAAATGTAGACAGTGATCTACGACAGGAGGAACGAAAGTATATCCAAATAAAGAGAAAGAACAGTCAGATTAAGAATCCACAATTCTTTAGCATTTCCTTTTTTTTTTACAAAAAATTGCTCAATACAACGTAGATCATATTTTTATTTAAAACATATTTTACATCACGACACGGAAATTTCTATGTTTCGGAAATTTAAATGTGTTCCATTATCAAACGATGTTATTTAACTTTTGACGAAAATGACAAAATTTCAAAATTTTGTTCCCCCTCCTTCTTAACTCTTCAATAAAATACAATTTCGTTTTCAAAAGTAAATCATTTTCATCTAAAGTTACCTAATATCGCTTGATAATGGAACAATTTCCGAAACGTAGAAATTTCGGTATTGCGATGTAAAATATTTTGAAATAAAAAAAATATATATATATATATATATATATATATATATATATATATATATATATATATATACAAATAAATTTCTATAGGATTTAAAACAGATAGATGGTAAAAAGAAGTGGGCCCCGAAGCATCTGAATACCGACGAAAATAAAGAAAATGTAATTTTATATTGAAATTATAATTGTGCGATGATTAAGTAAAAGCTATGTGATTTAGAAATGCGCGTTTATCATTATTGGAAATTGGTAAAGTGACAATTGGTCAACCATTTATATATAAGTTATTCTCATTGAGTTTATGTATCTTGTTTTTTTTTGTTTGTTTGTTTTAAAACAAAGGGAATTTCCAGCATTAAGTAAAAAGGCTATTTTAATAAATTTGACTGTTACAACTACTTACCTGAGTGAACCGGTGTATTCCATGTTGACTCAATTTATGACGAAAGACAGAAACAGACTCAACACTGCACCTGATATGCATGTAGCATTGTCTTCCTGTGTTCCCAATTGCAATCACTTGCTTATTAAAAAAACAAACACACACATCTCATTAAATAACTTTTTTTTCAAATATTATTTACTTTATCTTTGTGCCGAAATTTCCTTTAAATTTGTTTTTCAAAAAGTAATGATTTTATATTCATACAAATAGATTATATAAATAGATACATGCAATTTCAATGTGTGAATCATAAGAAATATATATATATATATATATATATATATATATATATATATATATATATTGTTGCTGCTAAATAAATGTACCGAGAGAACAGAGTTTTTCTTTGATTTATTACACAAAGGTAATGCAAAAGGTGGTTTTTGCTGTGATAGATGGCGCTGCCGTTTCCGTGAATGTCGTCAAGAGAAACCGCTAAGGAAAGGAAATTAGCTCCAAGGGTCACCATTTCCTGACTACACTTTCATATTGTTTATTTATTTCTGATCAAAGAATATAACCACTAAAAACTTTTGTGGAGTCTCTAAGAGGAATCACTGCAACGTCGTGGATTGGGCGATCAACCTCAGGAAAGTATGAGCCTGGAGATTATTAAAGTCATCATCAGCGATTGGAGGCCCCGGAACAATTGTGGAAATAGATGAGAGCCTCTTCTCCCGTCGAAAGAATCATGTTGGACGCCAACTGAGAAAGCACTGGGTATTTGTCGTAAAACAAAAGAATGTTTCATATACGACGTGCCAGATAGAACAGCTTCCACATTAACGGACACGATTCGAAGCTGTTTTATTCATGGGACTACGATTATGTCGGTGATGTGGGCCCAAAGTTGGGACCACGGAAGAAAAACACGGAACACGGATTAGAGGTAAGAAAGATATATTAAACCAAAAGGTTACAAAGATAGTGTAAGTGTAAGCGGCGCTTACTATGTGCTAGTGTCCAATATTGGTAGTCGTACGCGGCTGATACTACGGTATTAGAATCTCAATCTCTCAATCTCTCTCTCTCAATCTCTATCTCTCTCTCTCTCTCTCAATCTCTCTCTCTCTCTCTCAATCTCTCTCTCTCTCAATCTCTCTCTCAATCTCTCTCTCTCTCTCTCTCCTAGAGTATTATATCGCATACTTTATATAGTCCTGGAAGAGTCCATGTTGTAGGTATGTTACGGTCTCACAACAGTCGGATTGTTGGAAAGGTTATACATCTTTGAAGGATGAACTCAGTTATATTTATCTGACTGTAAATCAGAGTATGAATTTCGTTAACCCAGAAACATGAGCAAACAATTGAGAGTACCTGGCGGAACGCCAGAATAAACTATAGTCCCATTTTAGGGACTCATCGCAGCACGATTAATTCTTATTTATGTGAGTTCTTTTTTTGGACCTAAAAATAACAATAACTACATTTTAAAACAAATTTTAAACAGTATTTGTGAATTTTGGTGTGAATTTTAGTAAATATATATTATTATTTTTTTTTATTTTGGGTTTAATTAATATTTTGTGGTGAATTAACGGAAAAGATCCAAATACTCTTCACAAAATTAATAAATATGCTTTATCTAATAAATTGTTACTAGCTGGTTATATTTGTCTGTGCCCGACATGACCAAAATTTAAATCAAAAGAAGACAATTGCCACCAAATACTCCGGTGTGTGTGCGTGTGTTGAAATGTTGATCACAGATGCTTCTATCGTCTTTCACTAAATCACTAGTCCGTTTTTTTATATGAAATACACAGTAGAATATTATTTTGAAAAAAAAAACTTTAGTCTTTTTTAGAGTGATGTTCCATTGAAAGATAACTTGCTACTTTTTTTTGTTTTCTACTCTTCTGTCTTTCCCCACCTTCCGACTTATTGTTGTCCAGGCCTCGTACTTTCAAGTCTGGGAGTAATCCGATTAACAAAATAATTGTTTGTTCATGTCGAACAAACTATTGCAGATCGTTAAACACAGCGTCTTATTAGCGCGTATCAACTCGTGGGGAGAAAACCAAAATCCTCTGGGAATTACTTCCCAATCTAGTTAAGTTGATCATGGAAAGTGAAAGTGAAAGTGAAAGTGAAATAAAAGTGAAAAAAATTTTAGACAAATTCTTTAACGTCCATTTTAACCAAAATTAAATGCTTTAATATTCTGGATGATTCTGAACGTTAATCATATGTGAGATCAGATTTCTCATTTTTCCTATTGCCTTAATTCAAAAATACCTAAAACCTGCAGTGATGAAACTTTCAATATTTTTTTTAACTTATAGCTCATATAAAATCAAACATATAGAAATATTACAATTTAATATACAGTTTGACCACGAGTCTACATTTTTTTGGTATATATATATATATATATATATATATATATATATATATATATATATATATATATATATATATATATCTTGCCGAGTGTTTAGAAACTTTCCATTCCGATCGTAAGACCCAAGTTCGAATTGCACTATAGTCGATTTATTATCGCGGTCACGTCTTGATGATATCGGCCTGGAGAGAAAATCTCAGAGTGTTCCACTGCCGGGAACTGCATGATAACCATACCACGTTTTGGCCCAATCCATCTGTGGGAAAATGGTTAGAGGCAACCGTTCGAAAGCCATCGATAGTTGTGCTAGCATCGTGACTGATGGTATGAATGTACTAGTCTTGTTCAGATGTCTGATCACGCCAGATTATGCGTTTTCTCTTAGAAATCGTAACCTCGGTCTGCTAAGCGTTGTTGTATGATAAATTACAGGTGTTGAAGAAATGCCTGCGTTGTGGAGTGATTTCACAATGGAGGCTTGTATTTGTACTAAGTCGGTCCTAAAATAGGTTCGACGTACAAAACGTTAGGAACTTGATATAATAGGTAATGACGCAGAGAAATCTAGTCGTGGTCGCTGATACTTTTAGTATCCGACTAACGGTCGTCCGGCATCGACTGACTGACTCACTGACCGACGATATTCAGTCACCCCCCCCCACGAGGGCGTCATGTGTCACAAGGCGTTTTTAACGTGGGATCTCCGAGTCCGTGGGATCTCCAAGCCCGTGGGATCGGCCAAAAATATGCCCATTGAACCCGTATTAACGGGTTCAGGGTCGGTTTACCTCCCCGAAAGAGAATCCGCCCTTCAGAGTAGCCTCGTTCGGGTTCCTCCCCGCCCGAAGGCAAAGAGTTCCACCGATCAGCCAGTCGACTGACTGACCGACTGACTCGTTACTCTTACTACTCCTACCTATTATAGGTTGGAGAGTCTATTAACTATAGAATAGGTGTGTTCCACCATAACAGCATGCAAGTGTCTGTAACTGGGAATAGCTTTCAAACGAGAACAGACAGATGTACTAAAAAAAACAGCAGCTAGCTAATATATAAATATATATGCAGCTGAGGGGTCTAAAGCAAGCCTAATCAGACGCTGTTTTCTCCTAGAAAGAATACGAATGTTCAAAGCCTGTCGAAATATTTCTTTATTAATTCGCTCATTGAACCGGTTAGACTTACAATTAAGATAGGAATATATGGTTGTTTTATCAGCGTAGATAACGATTTGAGAACTGATTAGATCAGTTGATGAAAACCCACTTAGATGTAAATTACATAAAATATTATTTACATGATGGTTAGTAATTTTTAAAATGAATGAATATATTTTACACGAAAATAAATGTACACATAAAACAAAATAAGACTTCATATTAATTTATTAAAACACTCTTTTATGAGTAGAAATGGTATATATATATATATATATATATATATATATATATATATATATATGTGTGTGTGTGTGTGTGTGTGTGTGGGTGTGTGTAAGCAAATATATGGATATAGATCCGACAGTATGAAGAAAAATACACGGAAAAAACAAACAAAAATCCTAATATGCAATTATGCTGTTTTAATGTTAATATAATGGCAACGTCGGACGTTTCGGTCTAATAGACCATCTTCAGGATATATTCATAAAACATAATTAACATTAGACTATATTCAATTCAACATGAAAAAGACGATGAACATAAGAGCAAGACCAATCCAAACAGATAACTGAAATCTTTTATAAGATCAGCGTTCCGTTTAAATATGATCACGTCGTCGTCACGTGGGCGATGTTGTGAAAACGTATGCCTAAAATTTGAGTATTTTGAATGAAAAACGAAAAGAATTTTATTTTGATCTAAAACTTATATGTACGTTTGTCGAGCATTAATCTTGCTAGAAAAGGGGAAATATTAAAGAAGCCATGTCTATTGTTCACCATGCGTGAGATGGATATTATGCCTGCTTCATAAATCCGCCTCAGATTTTTATTATGAAAATATTTTAAAATCTTCACAGAATCAAAATCGAAATTATGATCAGCTTTAGTTGTGTGTACAACTAAAGCATTGTTTAAATTTCCGAGGCGAATATCTCGTTTATGTTCGAAAACACGAGATTTTACGGACCAACATGTTTCACCCATATATATTGAATATGGTCTAATGTTAATTATGTTTTATGAATATGTCCTGAAGATGGTCTATTAGACCGAAACGTCCGGCGTTGACATTATATTAACATTAAAACAGCATAATTGCATATTAGGATTTTTGTTTGTTTTTTACCGTATATTTTTCTTCATATATATATATGTTTGTGTGTGTGTGTGTGTGTGCAGGTATGTAGAAAAATAAGAAAGAACACGTTAGGTAAATAATCCAGGGTTCTTTAGTATTTTTGTTTTTAATTTTAATAATTATAATAATTAATAATTATCATTAATTATAATAATTAATAATTATATCTTTAATTTAAATAATTATATTGATGGTCATAAAAGAAAATAATTATAATATATATATATATATATATATATATATATATACTTACTTGCTGCGAAGGTCTGGTTAAACTATGGAATGTAACTAGTCTGGACATCAGCCATGAAAATAAGTACATGGTAACGAGAGACTAGGAATATCTTCTTTGTGTAAAAGGGTTTTGAACATTGGAAAATAATTCATCACCCATATAAACGCTTTTGAACTTTGTTAAGGCAGAAGAGTGATGATTGTGCAGCGCCCACTCAATGGCAGTAATAATTTATTCTCTGGTCTGACTCTTGTAAATATAGAGCATGTGAAGCGATTTTATTTTTTCTGCTTGGATATCTACCAAAGGAGGGGGACGGAAAACTCAACAGCACCGGAATCAAGCACTAGGTCACGACGAGCGGGGCACGGACAGGTCTTCAACATGGAAACACCAGGGGTACACCAGGGGTACACGAGGAACGAATTTGAAACGACGTTAAGTAACGCCCGCCAATCCCGTTGTGAGCTCAAGGCGGTGCACTGCCAAATAACACCACTTCCCAGAGAAACGTGCCTGCTTTTATAAAGCCTAAATGTTTAGCGGTTAGCTATCAAAGGAATCATTTGAATAGCTAATACCGC